GAGAGGGCCAGGGTCCCCACTGGAACTTCGCGCTCTCTGCCAGACCCCGACCACAGCTGGCTCTGGACAGATGTCTAGTCTGAAGGATTCAGGCCTTTGAGGGGGGCCCCGGATTACTATTATAAAGTGGATTTTAATCCATGGGGTCTTTGGGTTAGAGTTACGTGTACTGAGGTCACCTTTACAAGAAGAAAACACAGATTAGTTCTGTTACAGAGAGTCAACCCTCGATTAGGTGCTTCACAGACACATCCCCTTACCCTCCAAGAGAGTCTTGTGCAGATGTTTTGTTTTAAATCCCATTTCTTCCCCTCCAAGTTACATAACAACTAATTTTCCTCCTCTGTGTTTTAGGTCTACATTTCCTTTATCTTACTTCAACAAGGAAACAAGCAAGGAGTACCCGGACCAGAGCCCTGGCCTGAACTGAAAAGTTGACCAACCCCCTTCCCCACGGCTCCAAGGACTCCCCAGACAGGGCAGCTGGGCCAGAGCTGCTCAACCCCACCACACTCATGGTCTGACCATCCCACGAAGGCTGCCTGCCACCTTAGATGAGCCTTCTCTAACTAGGAGGTGGCAGTGGACAGACAGCGATCTTCTGAGAGCTCAACAAATTAAACCACAGTGGGTAACTTTGCAAACTTGACCAGCAGTACTCACAGCTTCAGGAAAAAAACGACAAGAAGAACAGGCCCGCACTGCAGGTGGTGCCCTGTGCTGTCCTGGGGAGACTCATCCATGGGTCCTGGGCATGGAGGACAGTGCCTCACCCTAGCTGAGTGAGGCATCACTCAAAACTCTCCCTTTCTCTATTTTCACATTAATCATGGAAATCTTTTGATGATTAATTGGGGCCCAGGTAATAATAATGATAACGACCCCTTTCTTGACTTACGTGGTGTGATGAACACAAAACCCAACGGCTGCTCTAAAGAACAAGCACAGTCCATGACCTGTGGGCAAACAGGTTATTTACACTTACTTCCACAGTTTCTTCTGCTATTTTCACTAAAACGAATAAAGTTTTTGGAGATCATCACTGGTTCTACTTAAATGACCAAGCACAAAGTTCCTCCTGGGACCTCCACGCAATGCCATTCCCTGGTTCCCAGGAAGGGTAGAGTTCTTCCAGGAAGCACGTAAGACAGAATATGCTTACTGTAGGAAATTAGCTTAGACCTTTCAGTTCTTGACAGGGATGCCCTGGACATAGTCTTCATTGTCTTTGCAAGCAAAAATAAAAATGAAGTTTCCACCAGGTTTAACCCAAACACAGCATGCAGACCAAACTAGTATGTAGAGTCTGATGCATGTTCCCCCAATCCAATCTTCATGTTAACAGCAAGGCAATATTCTCTCACATATTCTCACACAAAATTGGAATGTTACTTCTTTATTTAAAAGCCTTCAATAATGATGATGAGAGCTAACAGCTACTGGACACTTAGAACCATCAGATACTTTTAAAAGTACTTTAGATATATGAATTCACTTAGTCCTAACAATCACCTAACAAAGTAAACATTATCTACATTTTATAAACGAGAGAGGTATGGAATGGTTAAGTAACTTGCATAAGATCATGTGGAGGGGCAGCTGGGTGGCTCAGTCGGTTAAGTGTCTGCCTTCAGCTCAGGTCATGATCTCAGGGTCCTGGGATCGAGCCCCAAGTCAGGCTCTCCCTGTTTAGCGGAGAATCTGCCTCTCCCTCTGACCCACCCCCCTCTCATGCTCTCTCTCTCAAATAAATAAAATCTTAAAAAAAAAAAAAATCACATGGAAAATGAGAGAAGGGAATTGAAACTTCACAGTTTGACTCTAGGGCTCCAATGCTTACCTATTGCCCCCCATCGGGGAGGGGTTTGGGCTTCTACTCCTTTAAAAGAAAGATCCACGAAAACTGCTCTCATTTGCTGAACCATTACTACTGGTAAAAACTTTACACATTTTTATATTCTCATACTTGATCTCCTCACAACCACCTGCCAGGAACCATTACTACAAATGAGGAAACGGCCCAGCTCAAAAGTCATCTTGCCCGGGGAGGCACAGAACCCAACAGGCCCACCAGGGCACCACGTCTGCCTGGTTGCACAGCTCCCGTTCATCCCATGGATCCCACCCGATGCCCAACACCAGACTGCACACATGGGCGCCAAGAAAGTACAGACCCAACAGATAGTAACAGACCACCTGCAGTCAGGAACCGAGGGGAGTGGGCGCCTGGGTGGCTCAGTTGGTTAGGCGACTGCCTTCGGCTCAGGTCATGATCCTGGAGTCCCGGGATCGAGTCCCGCATCGGCTCCCTGCTCAGCGGGGAGTCTGCTTCTCCCTCTGACCCTCTTCCCTCTCGTGCTTTCTCCCATTCTCTCTCTCTCAAGTAAATAAAAATAAAATCTTTAAAAAAAAAAAAAAAAAAGGAACCGAGGGGAGTGACTGCAGAAAGAGCCTGTCCTGGGAAACTGGTTCATTCAGCCACTGTCCAGCAAACCTATGAAACCCAGACAGACTTCGAAGTGGCCAGAGGACTCAGCACCAACTCCACACCAGTTATTAGAGGGAAGACCTAGGAGAGACCTACTCACACAGCAGAACTACTCACAGAGCACAGACTGAGTAAATTAATGCTTCCTCTGTGCCTGTTATGAACGAACCCAGGTGAAGGGCTGGCTGGTGAATTACGTGGTGGCGGCAGGTGCAGTGGGTATGCGTGTAGGGGGCTGGGGGTGGGGGAATACATTTCAGTTAGCAACAGAAAGGATCTATTTTCTAGCCACCCGCACACAGGAGGTATTAGCAAACACCTGCTAAGTGAATGACGTCTGAGAAACAGTATCTAACATCTTTACAGCCTGTTTACAAAGACACCTGAACTAATGCAACGTGTGCTGGAGAACTACTGGCCGGCGTCCCACTTCTTCATACAGGTGAACCGGCCCTCATAAAGGCTGGAAATGACTAACAATATTTAAGGGTCCAGAGGAAATTTGGGGCACAGCGCCGCAAATCATCTTCTCACTCAGATCCAGAACAGTCTTCTCCGACAACTCGGAGCTACAACCATCACGAAGCTCTAACCTCCAGTCCCACCATTTTTTTTCTTTTTTTTTTTTTTTTTGCCCAAGCCTGAGGCCAACTAGAAGGTACTCAGCCCCGACTCTCAGCTCTTCGTGGCCTCGAGCAAGTCACCCACTCTACATCTCCCGGCCTCAAGCTCTCTGTCTGCAAAATGGGGAAAATATCACTACCTGGCCGATACGGTGGCGAAAAGAGCAACTGGGACAGTAGTTACATGAAAGCGCTTACAGAACTTGAAGCGCCGCGCAACGGAGGCAAGTGTTTCATAGAGGCGGCAGAGCGGGGAAGCGCACCTGGGATTTGGGAGTTAAGGTCTGGGTCTCAGCTTCGGCGGTAACAAGCAGAGTCTGAGCAAGTCACTTCCCCGCTAAACTTCACTCGTCCTAACTCTAAGGCCGCGCAGAGATCGTGGAGCAGCGGGACCCGAGGGCCAGTCTTCCCAGGGGAGGGGGCTGCGCCGGGGCAGACCTTCCGGACCCCTCCCCCCACGGGACGCCCACCCCCACCCCCACCCCCACCCCCAGGGCCGCTCCCACGAAGGGGGCGCCCCAGCCTCGCCGCCACCGCCGCCGCCACCGCCGCCGCCAGCGGCCCCGCCGGCCTCCCCGGAGCGACGGCGCTTCCAACCAGTGCGGACGGCCGAGCGGCTGGGCCCGCGGCGGCGGCGGGGCCGGGCCAATGAGGAGCGCGGCTACGGCAGGGGGCGGGCGCAGACGGCGCTCCGCGTCGCTCCCGGGCCGCTCCCTCCCCTGCCCCGAGCCCCGCTAGGCTACCGGCCCTGAGCACCGGAGGGAGAAAAGGCCGCTCACCGCCCCTTCGTCGCAGCCCCGCGCTTCCGGATGAGCTCGTCCAGGGAGATGTCCGCCATCTTGCACTGCCGAGCGAGCCGCGAGCAGCTTAGGCTCCCTCGGCCCTCGAGCCCGCCCCTTCGGCCGCTACGGAGCAACTAGCTGCTTCCGGCGTGCGGCCCACGAACTCTCGCGACAGCTCAAACCAGGCAAAAACCGGAAGGGGCGGGGAGGTCCCGTGAGCCTTTGCGACGCCAGCTGCTTATCTGCATACGGCGGTCGGCGCAACTATCGTTGGGGGTTCTCTCTAGACACCAAATAAAATGGAAAGCGACATAAACAACTAACTAAATGAATAAGACAAACTACAAAGGAACTGGGTTCTTAGTTCAACGGGCCACTCTGATACTCACCGTAGCGATAATGAGAATGGGATTCATTACCCAGCAAGTAACACGTAGAAACCTTCATGCCTTAAACTTATGAGTAAGGAAAATAACGATTCGGGGTGACGCCCGAATCCTCACTGCTAATGTGAGACGAATTTTTGAGCGGGTAAAGGTTGCCCCTAAGGTGACCCGCCTACTTTGCGGGATGCCTGGGAGTTGCGATCTGCCCGTCCTTCCCCCTTTTAACAACTAAAAAGTTAGACGGAATAGAGGAAGTTGGTGAGCAAGTTCAGAGAGGTTTTTTTTTCTATTCTCAAAGAACTGTTATTCTTGTGGTTTTTTTCAGGGGAGAGGTGGCATCAGACCCGCCCCGCTGTCGCTACGCCCTCGGTTGTTTGCTACTTATGACCGGCGAAAGTCCCTTTTCCCGCATGGTTCGTGAATCTTAGGTGGGCCATCTTACCCAGTTGTATGAAACTTCGCTCTGTAATTACAGTGTAAGGCCAGCCGCTCATTTGTGGGTGAGAATTACCGAAGGATACCTGTGGCTGCGGGGTGCATGAAATAGGCGCTCGTTTTGCGGCTCAGCGGGCGAGAGCTGCGCGAACGCCTGCGTCACGTCCCACGACCCGCCCTTCTCGGCGGCCTGACTCTCAGGAGCAAATTGCCTCACCTCGTTGCGCTTCGGTCGTCCCGATCTATAGAATGGGGCAAATGACAGGTCGTTGCGAGGGTTTAGTAGGCTGATTGTAAAAATCTTCCATACGTAGAATTGCCTTCTCTATGATGCGGCTCCAGGACCCAGCACTAACCTTGGCACGAGGTAGATGTTCAGGACATGTTTGTTGCCTCAATCGATTACGCAACGTCTTTAGAACAGCAAAGAGCACTACTGTACTCTGTGAGTTATTAATTCCTCAGTGCAGTGATGCCAGTGGAGTTCATGTACTGTTGACAGAACACATAATTAAAACTCTGGCATCAGGAGCTCTGTGGGCAAGAGCTGGTAAAGCCAGCGGGTCCGGGGTTGGGACAGACAGGCAGGCAGGGAGGCCAGGTCCCAAATGCGCAGCCGCGATACTCTTCTCAGCTGTAAAACGGGACGCTAACCCCTCCCTCCGTCCTTCCTTTCTTCCTTCCAGGAAGTGCGGGGAGGAACGCGCGGACCAGGTACGAGGAGGGGAGGGCCCAGGGCCGGCCTCAGCACCCTCCCCTGCCGGACTGCGGAGGGCAGGTGCAGCGGAACAAGGGAGGGGCCGGAGGACCGCAGGATTTAAGGCGCTGTCATGCCTTAAGTGAAATGTAATAAAGTGACTTAAAGGTTATTTTTTAAAGCCAGTTCAATAAGGTCATTAACTGAGATCAACTGTCAGCGGAGTGGCCCTCCGCTGGAGGCATTTCGGAGGGTGTAGACTGTTGCAGGGTGGTGTCTGGTTATCTGAAGGACAGGGATCCGGAATCCCGTCCTGTGGAGGTTGGGGACTGGGGTGTGGCAATCCTGAGACGTGGGCCTTCCCGACGCCTGCGCCTGTGGCATTCCGACATTCCAGGAGGGAAGAGGCCTGTTACAATTCTGCCAGGCAGGGCTTCACTGCATTTCTTGTATGGACACGTCGGACTTTGTGCCCAGTGTGAACAAACATGGAATTGCCAGGAACGCAGCTGCGCCATAGCTGAAGGTATCCGGTCCTGCTTTGTTTGTAAATAGACCAAGGATTGTGCCCTGCTTGGGAAAACCGCGTCCCTCTCAGCAGACCCTGGGAGTCCGGCTGCATTTGGCGCTGTGACCATGGCCCCAGGCGACCCGAGTTTTTAAAAATTCTATGTGTAGAGCGCCTAGGTGGCTCAGTCGTTAAGCGTCTGCCTTTGGCTCAGGTCACGATCGCAGGGTCCTGGGATCGAGTCCCACATCGGGCTCCCTCCTTGGCGGGAAGCCTACTTCTCCCTCTCCCACTCCCGCTGCTTGTGTTCCTGCTCTCGCTATCTCTGTCTCTGTCAAATAAATAAATAAAATCTTTAAAAAAAAAATTCTATGTGTAGGCTGGTGATATTACCTGTAAATCCACTTCAGGAGACTAAAGGGGCGGTTATAAATGTTATTTTAAAAGGGTGTCAGGTCTGAGAGGATGGAAAGTCGTGAAACTAGGAGAGAGGGTAGGGACCAGGTCCAATCCAAGCCCTTCTCAGCTCCTGGGAACAGCCCCTTGTGAGCTCAGGCAGGTGTGCATTCAAAGCCTGACACAGGTCTGTTTTCTCATCCTCCAGAAGGGGACCCGGATGAGGAGACCTAATGTGAGCCCAGTGCTCTGCAGAATCCCGTGCACACTGCAGGTGTGCCAAGCCCTTTCCTGCCCACTGCCTTACCTCAGGACCCACCTCCAACCCTGCTCTAGAACGTGGGCCTGGGCCAGAATAGAAGGTAAGAGGAGAAGAGAGGAGAAAGGGGCTCCCTGGCCTGAGGCTCGGCTTCTGGCATTCCTTCCTGCGCACTTCCCCATCCTGTCTTCTTCCCCCCTCCACTCCAGTACACTGGCCTCCAGGATGTTCCTGGAGACATCCCGCGGGTCTCTGCCCCAGGGCCTTTGCGCTTGCTAGTCACGCCCTCTAGAGCACATCTAGCGTGCTTCCATTCCAGCCTCATTTCCACGGTCCCCTCAGCCACCTGCTTCCATCTGTTTCTGGAACTTAATTCCACAGGCTTGTTCCAAATGCAAGGCGTCTGCACTTGCTGAGTTCACACCACCTTGAACACCTACCTCAGCGGGGCCAGCTTTGTTGGCTCTTCAGAGACAGCAGTCCTCACTCCCACGTTGCCTCGTGTCCTGATTTCTGTCTTGGCATTTGCCATCTCACTCACGACACCGTCTGGCTTACATCTTTCTCACCGGCACCCCAGAAGTGGGGGGGGGCGTGTTGGGGCAGCTGCAGCCAAGTCCCCGGCACTTGGAACAGTGCATGAAGAAACGAGGGAGCTAGCGATCCCTCTTGCAGCCTTCCACAGGAAGACTGATGCCTGCCTTACTTCAGGACCCACCTCCAACCCGAAGGCCTTTCACGGCTGAGCCTCAGTCCCTCCAGCAGAAACTGAGGCTAATGATGTCTCCTTGCTTTTCAGGGCTGGCCAGAGGGGAAAGCGAAAAGGAGAACAATGGGACATACGGAGTTGCACAACAGGACGGGAGAGAGCTTTTCACACCGCCGAGATGGCGTCAGTGAGGCTGGGCATGAGGGGGCTGGACACGAGAGGAGGGTCTCTAGGCTGGACTCCCAGCGTCCACACGCCCTGGCCCGGCTGTCTCCAGGAATCTAGCCTCAAAAAAAATCATCTGAGGGGCACCTGGCTGGCTCAGTCGGTAGAGCACGCGACTCTCGATGTCAAGTTGTGAGTTCAAGCCCAACACTGGGTGTGGAGCCAACTTAAAAAAAAAATCTGAAAGGAGGATGAAGCAGGCCACCATTATCTACAAAGTCCACAAATGGGAGACAGCCCAACTGTCCAAGGATAGGGGATTTGCTACATAATAAATCATGATCCGTGTGGGCTTATGGAGAACGTGTGACCCCAGGGGAAAGCCCATCTGATGAAGGGAAAAGCAGCAGCCCCCTGGTGGGCCATGTGGTTTCATCAGAGCGATCGGCGTTTCCTCGGGATGTCCAGTATTTTTTTCCTGTGCATGGTTTTCTGTACAGTCCAAACTTTACATGACGAACCCCAACACACATTAGAAATAAGTGCTGGGCCCCTTCCTGTCTCCTCTCCCACTGCCCCCCAACAATGACACAAGTCGCAGAGCCTCAGGGAACTGCAGAAGGGTTAGTATTAGCAAAGTTTTATTTCAATGTTTTTTCTGCTCATAAATGATTCTGAAAAAGCCCATATGCAAGAGGCGAACCCACCCTTGTCTAAAGGCAACATCAAGATCACGGAGAATGCTGCTCAGACGAAACCTCCCCTCTGCTGGGGTGCAGGCAGCATGAGGGGTGGGTCTGGGACAGAGGAATAAATACACATCGTCTCAGCTTGGCCATCAGCGCTGGTGGCCCGGGGTCCAGAGGCGGTCCACCAGACTGCCGGCCTGAATGCTCAGGTGTGTTGGGGAAGATGCTGAGGCTTCCGGAGGGCCCGCGTGCCCACCAGAGGAGCCCTCAGCCAGGCCCCCCCTCCTCCTCCTCCTCCAGCCCGGAGCGGGGAGAGCCCAGCTCCCTGCTGGCTGGGCTTGCCTGGGTCCTGGGGTGGGGGGCAAACTCTCACCCCCACGGCACCTGCCAAGAGGACTTTTTGGTGTTACTGTCATGTAGTGTCAGGTGCTGAGGCCTGGCTGTGGCCCTGAGCAGGTAGTGAGGGGTGGCAGGCGAGGGTCCCGAGGCAGTGCCTGGGGCGGTGGGGGGGGGTCCCCTGGCATTTGCAGCTCTGGGCTGCCTGTACATTTGTGTTTATTTCTAGACGTGGTCTGCCCTGGGAGGGGTGGGTGGAGCATGGCGCTTGCAGCCTTGGCCTAGTAGTGTGTGGGTGGGTGAGTGGGGTGGTGAGAGGGGAGGGCCAGGGCCAGGGCCAAGCATCACTGGTAAGAACCAATGAGGGCCAAACAGGAACCCACCCGGAAGGCGGCTGGCGGCAGCCCACCTGTAACAGAACCTTGCTCCCAAAGGGGTCCCTCGGGGGCCAGCCCAGCGGGATACCCAGCCAAGCACAGGCAGGCCAGGCTAAACCCAGGGCCATAGTGGGAGATGTGGGGTAAGGAAGTGATGTTAAAGAACAGTGGCGGGAGGTGTGGACAGGGCACGGTGAGTATGCGGGGCGGGCGCGTGCGAGCAGCCAGTGCCTGGCCCTCAGAAGGCGAAGCAGCGCTCCTTGGGGTGGCCCACACGGTCCAGGTTAGGCAGGCAGGCGTACTGGATCATGGGCGGGGGTCCACACATCAGTATCAGCGGCTCCTCCTCTGGAGGCGGGAGGTGGTCCCGGATCATCTCTTCATTTACGAAGCCCTGGCTGTAGTCCCAGGCTGCGGGCGGAAGATCAGGTGAGTCCAAGTGGGGCCGCATGACTGCCCAACGACTGCCCACCTGCCCAAAACCCCTCCCCTTGACCGTTATACTCCTGTACCATGAGTTTCTCCCTTCTTTCAACAAACACTGGAGAATGAAGAGGCTGATCCAAAGCAAACACTTGCTCTGGTCCCCTGCCCCAGCCTGGCTCGCCCAGAACAAAACAGCCAGTAAGCAATTAACAAAATGGCAATAGTGCATATGTATCAATATTTACTTTAAATGTAAATGGGCTAAATTCTCCAATCAAAAGTGGCTGAGTGGATAAAAAACAAGACACAAAAACAGACATATAAATCCATGGAACAGAATAGAAAGCCCAGAAATAAACACATGATTATATGGTCAATTAATCTTCAATAAAGGAGGCAAGAATATCCAATGGGGAAAAGGCAGTCTCTTCAACAAATGGTGCTGGGGAAACCAGACAGCTACATGCAAAAGGATGAAACTAGATCATTTTTGTACACCATACACACAAAAAAACCCTCAAAATGGGTTAAGGACCTAAATGTGAGACCTGACACTATAAAAACACTAGAAGAGAGCACAGGCAGTAATGTCTCTAATATCAGCCATAGCAACATTTTTCTAGACCGGTCCCCAGAGGCAAGAGAAATCAAAGCAAAAATAAACTATTGGGACTCCATCAAAATAAAAAGCTTCTGCACAGCAGAGGAAACAACCCACAAAACTAAAAGACAACCTATGGAATGGGAGCAGATATTTACAAATGATATATCAGATAAAGGATTAGTATCCAAAATATATAAAGAACTGATACAACTCAACATCCAAAAAACAAACAGTCCCGTTAAAAAATGGGCAGGAGACATGAACAGACCATTTCTCTAGAGACATCCAGATGACCAACAGACACATGAAAAGATGCTCCACATCACTCATCATCAGGAAATACAAAGCAAAACTACAATGAGATATCACCTCACACCTGTCACAGTGGCTAAAATAAAAAACACAAAACAAAAATAAAAAAAAATACAAACACACACACAAAAAACCACAAGAGGTGTTGGCAAGGGTGTGGAGAAAAAGGAACCCTTGTGCATTGTTGGTAGGAAGGCAAACTGGTGCAGCCACTCTGGAAAACAGTATGGAGGTGCCTCAAAAAATTAAAAATAGAATTACACTACGATCCAGTAATCATGCAACTGGGTATCTACCCAGAGAATACGAAAACACTAATTCAAAGGGATACACGCACCCTATGTTTATAGCCACGTTATTTACAACAGCCAAATTATGGAAGCAGCCCAAGTGTCCACCAATTGATGAATGGATAAAGAAGATGTGGTGTGTGTGTATATAATGGAATATTAGCCATAAAATGAATGAAATCTTGCCAATTGCAACAACATGGATGGATCTAGAGAATATAATGCTAAGTGAAGCCAGTCAGTCAGAGAAAGACAAATACCAGATGATGTCACTCACACACGGGACTGAAGAAACAAAACAAACAAAGGGGAAAAAAAAAACAGACAAACCAGAAAACAGACTCTTTAACTGTGGAGAACAGAGAGATGGTCATCACGGGGGAGGGGGGCGGGGGATGGGTGAAGCAGGTGAGGGGCTGAAGAGGACACCTATCATGATGAGCACTAAGTGATGCAGAGAATTGTTGAATCACTTCATTGGACACCTGAAATGTCTAACACTGCACGTTAACTACACTGGAATTAGAAGGAAACAAACAAGACCTACCTACATGTTGCCTACAAGACACTCACTTCAGATGTTTGTAAGGACACATGCAGACTGAGAGTGAAGGGACGGAAAAAGATATTCTTTCCAAATGGAAATGAAAAGGAAGCGAGAGTAAGTAAGAGACAAAGATGGGCATTACATACAGGTAAAGAGGCCAATCTCACCAGGATATAACATTGGTCAATATTTACGCACCCAACATAGAAGTACCTGATTATATAAAGCCAATACTAACAGATTTAAAGGGAGAAATAGCAACACAATAATAGTAAGGGATGTTTTAAAAAGATTATTTATTTGAGAGAGAGAGAGAAAGGGAGCAGGAGGGAGAGAGAATCTGAAGCAGACTCTGCCCTGAGCACAGAGGCCGAAATGGGGCTCGATCCCATGACCTCGAGATCATGACCTGAGTTGAAACCAAGAGTTGGACGCTTAACTGACTGAGCCACCCAGGTGCCCCAACAGTGAGAGATTTTAATACCCTGCTTTTATCAACGGATAGGTCACCCAGACAGAAAAGCAATAAGGGAACATTGGCCTTAAGGAACACGTTAGAGCAGATGGACCTAACAAACATTTACAGAACGTTCCATCCAAAAGCACACACACATTCTGCTCAAGTGCACACCTCGCAGCTGTCAGAATGCCATCATCAGAAGACAGGAAACAAGTGCTGGCGAGGATGTGGAGAAAAAGGACCCTCGTGCACTGTGGGTGGGAATGCAAGCTGGTGCAGCCACTCTGGAAAACCGTATGGAGGTGGTGCCTCAAAAAATTAAAGATAGAATTACACTGTGATCCAGCAATCCCACTTTTGGGTATTTACCTGAAGAAAATGAAAACATTAACTCAAAAACATTTCTGCACCCCATGTTCACTCACTGCTGCATTGTTTACAACAGCCAAGATAGGGAAGCAGCCGAAATGTCCATTAATGGATACGTGGGTAAAGAAAGTGTGTTATAAATACTGTCAGGGAGCAAGATTTCCTGTCCCTTCAAGGTCCTTCTAGGTGGGCTAAGAATCAAATTGACATGAGAGAGATTAACAGGAGGAAATCAAATTTAATAGCGTACATACAGGGAATCCACACAGGCACGGACATTCCAAAGACAGTCAGGCAAAATGGGGTATATATGTCATTCTGAACGAAGGAGAAGGGGGCAGGGGTCTGGGATTTCGGAGGAAAGGAATGCATTTCACAGGGTGATAAGAAGAGCAGATGTTTGGTAAGTAGATGTTTGCCCTACCCTACAGACGGATCACTCAGGTAAAATTTACCTCTGTTAATAGCCCTTATTCTGGGAAAGACCGCCAATTTAGATTCTTCTGTATAGTTAAGGAAGGGATCAAAGTTTCTCTTGAGCTCAGCAGGGTCTCAAGTGCCTCTAGCTCAAGATAATCCACATGCCAAAGTGGCACATTCAGCGCGGTGGGGGGGGAGGCGGCGGTCCTGAACCCCTTCAATACAATGGAATATTACTCAGCCATAGAAAAGAATGAAATCTTGCCATTTGTGGCAACATGGACGGACCTTGGGGGCATTATACTAAGTGAAATGAGTCAGACAGAAAGTCTAAATACCGTATGAGCTCACTTATATGTGGAATC